AAACTTCAGACAATAAACAAACTTATAATAGTGGAGTAGCCCTCTGGCATCAACCACTGAACATGAACTTTTTCTGCATAGCTTGAGCGTCTTGGGTGATCTTATCAACGAAAATGAACCAACACCCTTTAAAACATGATTAGCTATAGATAAAATGCTTACCGGAGCCTTCCATGGGGCCTTGAGTGAACCTTCAAGTATATCTAGAGTTCAACGTTCTTCTCGCATGAAAGTAGAATAAGAAGTGAGCTCTATATGGGGGTGATTTCCAACAGAGCTATCATTTTGATTACCACTATTTGGGGAGGCTCTACCCACATTCCCCTAGACTCTGGAACGCTTTTTTAAGTCCTGATATTGCCCTCGTAGCGAAGATCAGACGAGAAAATTGAAACATGTTGTGGAAATGGCAGGATGTGCCGCAGAAAATAGGCTGCGGTAGGCCGTGGTGAAGAAGAATTCCTCGTCTTGGAGAGATCCGCAGATTTTTGCAGAGACGCTCTGACTTCGGGGTGCGATTTGAACTTTTGAAGTAGACCGATTGTGAGCACAAAACCCTTCTTGATTCTTCTTGAAAAATTTTGAAATCAAGATTATCAATATCAAAGTGCCAACAGATTAAATTCCATGTCTAAATCACTTCCTTTTTTGTTATGGCTTCCGAGAACTGTTACCGAGAATTTTTTTGACATCCAACATCCTTACTGTCATGATAGGAGCTTGTCAGAGAAGTACTTCAAACGTGAGCGGTTCGTAATTTTACATTTTATAAGAACCTGAATACCTAGATCTGCATTCACGTTGCAATGGGAGATTTGGTACCGGAGCGTGCTTCGTCCAGGACGGCGTCCCAAGTTCGTGATATATGTTCTAACACGGTAATATCTTTTATTACTTTACGCTCCTTCCCATTTACGGAGCCCGCAGGCGACCAGCTTTCCTTTGTTTTTACAAATTGGTTACAAAACCAGGGTCCGGGGCCTTGATTCTCGCGAGTGCTGTAAGTTGGTTATGACTCACTATCAGTTGGAAGGAGTCTAACAAAATTCATTAAACCCCTGCCAAGATTTATGAGGGTCGAACTTGGATACATATCAAAAGTCCCTTCCATAGCTCTTCCTACAGTCATATAAATGCTTCTCTTTCCTCACATGTGTATATTGACCGTATGATAGATTTTTGGCAACAAATATATGAATAAATGCAGTTCACCTTATCGAATCGCAAGTTATGAACGTAATCATTATGATTCGGCGGCAGGAAATGAACCCACCACCCACCCACTCAAGACGCTCAAGCGATGCAGAAAATGTTCACGTTCAGTAGTTGACGCCAGAGGGCTACTCCACTATTATAAGTTTGTTTATTGTCTGAAGTTTGTGCTAATCATTTTTTTTACGAAATGTTAAATTCATGAATAAAATGTTCCTCAGAAAAATGGCCAATACCATCATCGTCCGTCCATCGATCTCTCGTCATTCTATCATTTTTTCTGAGAAGCGCTCTATCGTTGAGCAAAAGATCATCATTCACGGAAGGTGTCCCTGCGAAGCACCTCGTTGATCAGGGTATGTCGGTAGTTCACTATGGCTTGTACTATCGCTCTGAAATAATGCACCATAACCCTAAAACCTCATGCGATTATCTGAACAGCTTTATTAATATCACCGCTACCACTGCTAAACCATTCTAAGCCGATTCAGAGAAATTATTCCCCTACTTTTCATTTCCAACATTGGAAAATCGAGACATTCTGGAAAATCGGCGGTTAAAGTAGAAGCTGAAATTATAGCAGGATGGCTTTTTAATTCTCCCGTTCTCGAAAGGCATTGTGGTACTCAGAGATACATTTTTCGGGAAGTTGTTCGAATGGTGATGCTACCAATAGGCTCCTAGCTAGCCAGCAACCTCCAGAAACAAGGTGGTTTGAACAATACTCCTACGTAAATGTTTGTATACATACTTCCGCAGTAGTTCACCTTCAGGCAGGAATGAACTTGACCATATATGTATGTCAAAGTGGTTCGAGGCGGGAAGCGATGATCTGCTAGTGATAAAAAAATCGAGAACAAAAGCAAACAAGATTGCTATCTGCATTGGATAGGATTGTTAAAGAAACTATGCCGTATAACGGTAGGTGCTGAGCTTTAGTCAACTTGCGTTCACCTGCCGCAGTGTTTTCTTCTTATACAGGGGACCCTAGTCACATAGCATCAAGTCTAGTCTACATGCGTTTTTTGATGCCTATAACGAACATTCCTCCTTCTGCATTCTAACCAAGGATTCGCAGGGACCTCCTACAGTGTGTAGCTTTGCATCGTATTAGCTATCTATTTCGAGTGGTATGTGAAGACGTTTGAACTTACCTCGCTCAGAGAAGCAGAAACCGACGCGATAACCAGAAAAGAGCGAGTAGGTGCATCTGAAGTTGTAGCGTTATGAAATGTATGATTGTGAATTGCCACGTGACTTAACTCCCCTTGGGTGCATGAGCCTCTTGAAGGTTCCAGCTCTTGAATTCCTGCCCACGGTCCCTCTTTTTCCAACTTTCTGATCTTCTACCAACATAGGGTCGGAACATGAAATTCTACCGGACCGCTTGTAGCTCACGACTCGATGAACGATCTAACCAGGATCTTTGAGAAGTCGTAAGGGTATAATTCTTTGGATTAAAACCAACAAACTAGCAACATCTCTCCAGCATGATCGATTCAACAACTAAAAGTAAAGGATCTTTCGATCGGTTCATTCGGGCCTTCCGAAGGCTCATCTACTATGGGCAAGGCTCAAGAGGTGCTACGGACTAGGCGGACCACGTACGTAGGATTCTTCAATGAGAGTGTGCGGGAACGGAGACGTTGCTTTTGTTAGGCAGAGATGGGATGAGGCTGTGAGACGGAAGTATAGGTTTGGGAATTTGAAAGCTGATGATTACGCAGTTCGGAGGATTTCTTCGCAAACATGGACTGAAGAATTCAACTGTATGGAATGTGCAGCAAGAGCACAACTTTGATACCACCACGTTGCCAGCGCTAGCCACTGTTCAAAGAGTCTAAATGTCATATGTAACTAGGTCCGGATTTATTCAGGATGACTCTGCATACATCTACATGATGAAGAAACTTCACAAGAGAAAAATGCCCGTAGCTACGTACATATTCAATCATTTTTAGTTATTCAATATTAGGGATCACTCACCGTGTTTCTTTCATTACGTAAGCAGGGAACTACTGCACAATCACATTAATGATAGACCCTATAAATTACTTTAACTATCTCTTATTGACGTTTTTAGCAAGACTGGTGCAACGAAAAGTGCAACGCAAAACCCTTTCCACACTAACTTCGAAATATTTTGATGAATTTGTTCTACATGCAGTGGCCGGCTTTTTTGGTTTTGGTCTGGAATAAGGTGAACATGGAGTATCTTTCACGACTGAAAACCACAATTTGTAATATATTAAAAATCTTGTTTTCAAGTCTCTCGTACAAACTTGAAATCTCGGGAGTATCGTTGCACACACCTCTTCCCTTAGTGGCGGATTCTTATGGAAGAAACACTTTTTTTGGAGCATAATCAGCTATAGTCCTGTTTATTTATTCCTGCGGAAGGATGTCGTAAGTGTCACGAAGTGTGTGCAAAGTTAAGTAGGGATGGTCCGAAAATCTCCGCCTTGAGGCATGGGCTAGACTAACTAGTCGAGGTTGATTGACCTGGCCTAGTTACCGGGTGCAGCTGATCGATTTATACTACCCTCCAAAAAACCTATACCTTTTCTTCTCCACTACAACGATCAAACCCGAAATTGCCTGAATACGTAGAGTTCACAGACGTGAGAAATTTTGGCGCCTTTCGCTACTGATAGCAATTGTATGTCGGGTATCAATATAGGCTACATGTTTTTCTCGTGAAATTTATTCAGTTTTCATAACTCGATATCATTCCATTTTATCCAAGGAAGAATTCCACTCAGATACTGCACGACAAAATAAACCATCGATTCTCCAGATGAAATTTGTCATTCAAATCTAGTGCTGTTCTTTTGAAGTCTGACATCGCCCTCAGCTCTTTCGAGATAGTTGTTGTTTGTTTTGTATCGTNGTATTTTCGAGAGCAGTGGGGACAAACTGTATCACTAGGTGTTTTTTTTATGAATTGCAGCCGCTGTTCAGAAAGGAAATGAGGAGGTTCGTAATCGCTCGATTAACACTGTAGGTTGTAAGATCTTCTTAGGAGAATAGCACTGAGGACTCAATCATGAAGCTTTATTGGGGAGCTTCCGCTGTATTAACAGCTTCGTCAGACCTTAAAACTAACACACAAGTATACAACATGCGTCTCATAAACATAAAATTACTAACCAGGCTGATGACAGAAGTTCATGCAATTCTGTAATACCACATGAGCACGACTAGTAAATACTAAGACCACATCGAAGCGAATGGCTCACCGTGACAGCAGTCCTCAAGTAAATGAAAGCTACTAGAAATGCGACTATAGACAAGATCTCTTTACGCAACCGCTATGATATCAATTTTAATGCCTCCATTAGCTCATCCCTGTTGTTCATTTCTGGTGATAAACTCTTGATAGCGAGCGCTTCAAGCAGTTTTCTCTCCAATGGGGCATCCTTCGTGCGGTGTAATATGGCAACTTTTAAGAAGGGGGTGCTTCTTGACGGTGGCACAGCACACGATGACGCGAGAACGCACTTCCTGGGTAGGATAATGGATTCCTCAGCGCTCGTGTATGTTCATCCATCCTTCTTTGCAACGGACGCTTGGATTCACCGACGTACTTCTGACCGCATCCTTCGCATGTGACCAAATATACTGTCCCGCGTAGCTGACAAATTTTTTGATCGACACAGTACGAACAGTTCCTCCTCCACATTTTTCTTCATAAATCCGTGATGATGTCAGCAAGCTTTTCAAGTTCGCGGGTGGTCGAAATATCAATCGGACTGGAAGACCTGAAGACTTGACGACATCGTTCACCTTCTTTGCTACTCTTTCATTGACATACGGTAAAACTAGCGGTGTTCCTCTCGCAGCAAAGAAAGGACGCCATGTTCTTGGTTGATCCGTCGTGTAGCCGTTCTCTTCCAAAATTCTTGCAATTTTTCGATCCATCTCTCCTGATTCTCTAGTGTCCTTGTCTTCGTTGTGATAAGGTTTCTAACACGTTGGCCTTTATGTACAATGGATGTGCACTTCGAGAATGCAGAAGGATATTCTTTGACATCGGTTTCCTATACCACTCAAATTCCTTCATGCCACGGGTTATCCGAACCATTCATCTGGACAGTCCACAGTGAAATGAATGTTTGGATCATACGAGTTCAGCTTTTGAAGCATCGTGTACGTATCTTCAACTGTAGATCCAACCCCGAATACATCGTCTATATAGCGCTTATAAAACACGATTCTTTCGGTCAGAGACCTCCTTCCTATGCGATCCAAATAGACGATTGCTAGTAGCGGTGAAATAAATTTTTGAGAGGATTCCATAACTCCTGCCCCGTGGACCTGAAGAGTTCAAATTGTAGGGCCACAGCCTCTCTTATTAACAGTGGAACAAAAGGTAACAAAAGATTGTGGTAACAAAAGTGGTAAGGGCAGCGATAGAGACCCATTGGCCGCACTACGGTAGGCAGATGAGAATTTCGTTCGTATCTTATCTGAGGATTACGACCGCTACCCAGCAAGGTCTGTGACTAAATGAAGGACCCACTCTGTTCGATTTCATTTGCGACAAAACTTAACCAACTGTCAGTGATCTGGAGTTTTCAACTGAAGATATCCCCGTAAAGAAAAAGTTCCATCGATACGACATCTGATAATGATGTTAAAAAAATCGAAACGTTTGTGAGGGCTTCGGTTGCCTAACAGTTAAATCCTTGATGGGTGTTCAAGCTCAAGAATTATTTTCAAGAAAAAGAGTAAAAGTTTGAGAATTCGAATTCAATGTGTAAGCATCGGCTTACACTAAATATCATTTCTACTGCTCTGTTAGACCTGTGTCAAACATCGTGTACGGGAAAATATTTTTTTTCAAAGAAGGAGTTAGCCAATTACCACAACTTTGTCAAAGAAGGAGGGAAGCACGGCGTTAGCCGGGCGACTGACTACCAATATGAGGTCAATATAGTATTACAGTTTCTCCCTTACCATTTGTGCTACGCACGCTGATGCGTGCACCACATGCACAAGCAGTAGCTTGGTGTGTCGGAATGTCGGTTTGTCGGTTTCTCTACTGTCCGAACGCAAAACTTTGCGATTACGATGAAGATAGTAATATGGAAAACCCAGCTCTCACATATTCTTCTTATATATAAAACTGTAAATTGGGATGTAGGTTAGTGGAATGGAGCGAGTGCTGCGGAGTGAAGTGAGTAATGTGGAGTTAAGTGGGTACTTCGAAACTGTGACTTCAATCTGTCCTGGCATCGCACTATGTATGTCTACACAAAAATCGGAGGTAATAATGTAGTTGAGAAAACAGCTTTTTTTCAACATTGAGTGCTAGAAATAAAAAGATCAGCCCGTCGTTGTGCTCAGGTATGTTTCTTAGCCGGGGTCATACAGTTTTCTGATTCGAGTTTCAGAAGGAAGGAGCACCGGGGTGGGTGAGTCAATTGGGTATCCAACCCATACATCATACTAGCTTTAAGGTCGTTCACCCATCTTTCGCACTAAAGCCCCCCTTATTGAATAAATATTATAAAAGCGAAGCCCCTCAGTACTTTCATCATCTCCGACTGCTTTTTAAAGGAAGGAATGGGGTTCCTCGTAAGCCGGGCGATCTGGCCATGATAAAACTGCGCAATGCTAAAGCGAACATTTTAGGAAGAATTTTGACAACGTACTGCACGTGTCAGACAGCCCAAGATGCAAAAGGCTGGGTGGCATAGCTACGCGATTTTCATTGTAAACCATGAACGTTCGCCGATAAGGCAGTTATAACTAACAGAAGGAGCAATATATCAGTCGAGAAGGGGGACAGAAGAAGCTTGGAAACACTTCTCAACATTTGAATTTTATTTTCAAAATTTCTTCCTATAGGAACTCTAAAACTTAACGTCTGAAAACTGCGGACGACCGTTTTTCTACCGTTTTCATGTTTTCATGTCTATGCGTGCAAGCTTCTCTACCTCTCCAGGGTCTGACTACACTAGTAGTGAATGTAGAGCGAGTTGTTACAGCAGTTTATTAAGCTCGTGGAGATATTTGCACCCTTTCCGACCAATTCTCCGATCGCATCCAACCCTGTCCTTCAATTTGAGCATCCACCCTCTTTGTAATTTCAGTATTATATTGGGAACCAGAGATGGCGCGAGTATTTCGACCAATGAAGTCAAGCCGTCTCACTGTTATTTCCACGCTGGCAGATCAAGCGCCGCGATCGCGCACGAATTGACTACATATTAGGAAAGAGCACATGAGAACAAACATTCTACCATCGTTTGAAGTGTTCGCTTTTCATTTCACTTATCATCTCTCAACTAACGTGTTCACTATTTCTTTCTAGATAGTTAGCATTGAAGGAGTCTCACGTATTGGGTCACGTATGAAATATAAAACCTCGTGGCAGGCAAACTACTCGAGTATAACAAGAAAGCCCCTTCCAATCAGTGCGACTTTTTTTGTTTGTGGAGAGTTCCTTCTTGGGTCAAAAATATTAGTAGAGAACTCTGAATCAAAGTCAGTCACGATATCATGATACGTGCATGGAAGGGCAAAACTACGGGAACAAGTTAATGTGACGCAAAACTTTATTTGACCTGAAAATATCGATTGCTACTGATTTTTTTCTGAAGAACTAAACGAAATACACTAATATCTTTCGAAGCAATTTCTTTTTACTCAGACGCAGACCCAAAAATGCCCCGAGAACGCGTTCACTGTAGCGAATAATAATTTTCGCCCAAATCACTCCATTTCCAACTAACTCACTATGTGATTTTGAACGCGTTTCAGGGTCGACGACACTCCACACAGAGAAATCATACTGGTTGGGGTCCGGTGAACTGGGATGAATCTTACCGAAGGCGATAAATTTAAGGGATTCTTGCTTGTACCATGCTTGGACAAGTGGGAGCACCACTTGTTGGTAGCGCCTCCTCTTGTTCATGAATATTCTCTTTGCCCAAGATTTCGATCTTTAGCATGTTCAGATAGACGATTGCAATGATCTCCACCTCTGAAACAAAGACCAGAGGTTTTTGTACGAGGGTGGCCGTTCAGGGAAAACCATCAATTGAGAAAATGTGCTTGCGTTAGAATTGTTATCCTGCTTGTCCAAACTTTGCCTAGAGATGGAAATCGCTCACTCGTGGAAAGGAGTTGTTCTGTGCGCGCCGCCACAGATTTGTCGAGAAAGCTTTCTGCAGCGCTGATCTCTTTTCCTTTTGACCTCAGCAAAAAAAAACTGCTCTACCCTGTTTCATTTCTGAGTGGTTTTCCGAAGTCCTAGGCTGGAAATAGTCGTTCCTTTTGCAATCGCCCCTACTGCCGTACTGGCTTCAAC